TTTATATATATATATATATATATATCTCATATATATTTTCACATGGGCACAGACATTTTCTATGTGACTAAAAGAACAAAAACAGAGGGCCACCTCCATGTGTAGAATAATTTATTAAAACTTAAAAGCAATGGTTAAAAATGTACTCTCAAGGGTACGTAAGACAGAGTACAGTAGGCACATACATGCTGTCACAGTGGAACCTTACAGAGGGTATTCCCTTTCATTCCCTTTCAGTGAGACACGCTGCTTCCTGACTTCCCTCACCGCTGTGTCTCGACCAGTTAACGTCCCCTTCATCAGAACTTTGATTTCCTCCACGCCAGAGATTTGGGTTTATGATTGGAAACAGACCAATCAGGGCACAGTTCTCCCCTGACTTATGTTTCCAATCATAAACCCAAATCTCTGGCGTGGAGGAAATCAAAGTGGTGGAGACATAGCGGTGAGGGAAGTCAGGAAGCAGCGTGTCTCACTGAAAGGGAATACCCTCTCTAAGGTTCCACTGTGACAGCATTTATGCACCTACTGTGCTCTTGAGAGTACATTTTTAACCATTGCTTTTAACTTTTATAAATGTTTCTGCACGTGGAGGTAGCACTCTGCGTTTGTTCTTTTTGCATGTGCTGGTGAGAATCCCTAATCTCTGTGATGAACAGCCCCCTGAATAGTCCTGATTCTGCAGGAGAAGATCTGAAGCTTCAGGCGCTGACAGTCTTTTCTATACGTCGTTGTTCTATGTGACTGCTTTTGCCACAAAAACATCACTATACACATAGGACAGTACCACAAACCTATCCAGGTCTACAAATCATTCATACTTTACACAAACTTAAACAAATGAATACTTTACCAATGTAAACTGCATTCAATGAATATTGTCTAAAAAGCAATAGCTAAGGTTCCCCTTCCAGACAATCCCGGTACATCAAGTAACAGAACTTCCTCCAATCACCCGCATTATCATGTCCATATTATGTCTTCCCAGTACTCAACCAACAGAAAAGCAAATCTACTGATGTGGCAGTTTTGGCGAGACTGAGTATGAATTTAATTATATGTGCCACCTGAAACTGTTATTTTCCTCCTGAAAAGAACGTCAGAGGGGTCTTGCAAGGTGCCTCCCAAGTTCTGCTCCACAGGTTCAACACAAACTCATGGCTGAGGTGACCATTTGTATTTGGGGCATGGCATTCAGCGCAGATGCCCAAGTGCAGGGTAGATTGGGTCTGCACATTCAATCACTTTTGCCACCTTTGTTTATGGCGACTGAGGCTTTAACACCCCATAGGAGCTATTTAATGATGCTGATCACAGTATAAAGATGTATGAGATTGGGCAGTGGTCGGAGGGGTGTCATATTAAAGTTTTGTTTAGGGTGTCCTATCCACTAATGTAGACTCTGCTGGCAATTGGGGTCCCAGAAGGATACGTACTAAAATGGGTTTTCTTATAATGCAATTGTTGAGCACCTCCACATTTTAAAATAATGTCTAGGGACATATTTACATTTTGTATAATATGCAAATGCAATTGTCTTGGCTTTCTTTGTTGTCTATTTACTTATTCCTTTCTGGAATGTTGGTCCTGAATGCATCTAGTTTAATGTTCTCTACTTTGAAATGCAAAAACTCATTAAAAACGATTGAAATTAAATTTTGTATTATAGGTATTGAAACCCCTGCAGCTGAAAAAGTCATAGTAAAAAGCCCTAATATTCCAATTAAGCGTCAAAAATAAAGTTTATTTTTGAATATACAACTTCATTTTGTAAAGTTCACAATGAATACCATTTAATTTATCCAAAATGTCCTGAATTCATGCACACCATCTTCCTTTTGGTGAGCCTCAATATAAATGTTTTCCAGTGATCTTCAACAAAATAGAGAACAGAGTACATGAAATATGGGCATTTGGGGTAAATTGAATGGTATTTACTGCAAATTTAAGAAAATCTATTGACTCCCGACACCTAACAAATGACAAGCGACTCTGACATCTGACAGTAGTTTGATGGATTATTGATGGGATCAACCATGGTTTGCTGGATTTCTGACAGAAGTTAAAGGAGAACTATGGGGTTAAGGCTTTTCCCCATAGTTCTCCTTAGGGTAACGGGAGGACACAAACTAGCGTCCTCCCGTCACCCTAGGCTCAGTATACCGCGAGCTGTGGCTCGCGGTATACTGAGACGCCGTAGCTGAAGCGGATCCCGACATTTTTGCCGGGATCCGCCCAGCTGCGTGACTGACAGCTGGCTCTGCCTATCTAGAGGCAAAACCAGCTGTACCCGCCCCCTCCGTTCCGCCAGTCAGCAACATTTTTAGAGGTATCCCCTTACTTCCTGT